AAAATATTTAACTCACAAGTGTGTAACTAGAATTAGTTAAGATGACAATTTGGTAAAATAATTATTTTTCATATAAATATTGGAGGAATAATTTTTAAAAGGCATTATGTTGTTGACAAGAGACAACAGAATCCATCATACCGAATATAATGGAAGAATTGTATGATTCAAGGAAAAATAACAAAGAATATACATACAATGGAACTAATAAATAATGAGCAGCTATATTTTCATTATCACTTCTATGTACACACACCGCCAAATAAATCTTTCTAGATTTAGGTCTATAATGGTGTATAAAATACTGGTCTACCTTTAATGATCTGTGTCAAAACACTACCTACTGGTAGTTTTTTTTTAAACTTGTTTTATGTAACTTGAACATTTCAGGTGTTTGTTAAAATTCATTCAAGTTAGGCACATCTGAATTCTGCTTAAGTTACACAATCATATATTACATATCATTTTGATCATTTATCCCCACACGAAGTTGATATGATTTAGCATCTTACAAAACAGACTAAGGTTTGCAGTATTAGAAATCATCAGATGGAGAGCAGTCCACTGAACAGTGACATCCTTACCAGACTGATGATGCGCATGGTGTCCAGAAGCTTCTGCGGACTGCCTTTGCTCACTATCTGGAGAAGACAGCAAAGAAGTCGAGTGGGGGCTTCCGGTGGAAAAGCCTACTGAATGAGCCTGAGCAGACGTGGCAGAGGATGTAGAAGGCTGAAGAAACTGCTCGGCTGGGGCATCTACGTCCATTGCAGTTTCACCTGCTTCCAGATCAGGACTCGATGGGACCGCAGGAAGAGTGGAAACATCTGACTGACTTGTTCCACCTTTAAAAAACACACATTAAGGCAAATTCAAATTTTAAATGCATTAAAAAACCAACAACCCTAAAAAAGATAATGTTCACACACTTGGTACACACAAATTTATTATTTCAGGGTATCAGTAACAGCCACTGGTGGTTTGTCCACTTGATCAGAGAAGCTAATCTAGAGGAGTAAAAACCTAGGTACAGAACACATTTTTGTTAAAATAATCAGTCTTTCCAACTATATAAAACTTGTTTATAATTCTGTATTTTCCATTCTCAAAGTACATTTAAAAACAGGATATCCCAGGCTTTTCTCATTTCTTTCTTTTTTTTTTTTTGAAATAAACAAAAGAGCTGGAGTTCATGGAACCAGAATTCTGGAATAGACTGTACAAACCTTGCGATGACCACAGACCTAACACATGGTGTAATTTTGATACACTGAAACTAACTTTTATAAATAATTTTTACCAGCTTCCTGATGACTTTATTAATAAGAAAAATTACCTCTGGGGCGAGATCTTCCTCGTCCTCTATTGCTTTGTGCAACTTCACTTGCTTCTTCAAACCATCTTGATAACATATCAGACATTCTCTGCATCAATGATACATTGGGACTTTGCTCTCCTATTTTAACATAAATTTTATCAGTGAGCCTAGTAGTAAGTCAGGATCTTCTATTAATGCAAAAACCTAGATGTGAAGACCTTTAAGATATAAGCAATTTTTAAAAATCAATTTGCCTAAATTATAAGAATGTATAAAAATCCACTGAAGTCCTCACTACATTTTATAGTTATTATGCAAATGATTCTTTGTGTGGATGGTAAGGTCCTTAAGAATAAGGCTCACATCTTCTTCATCTATGCCAATTTGTCTACTCTTATGTACCTTCTTATCTCCCACCCTGACCCAAACTTACTTAGTCTTTACATCTAAGAATGCCCAGCTAGGAAGGGCTGTTAGATTTCAAGTCAAGGAGAGTAAAAGAAAGGTTTCCCCTCTCACTAGAGCATTACTGTCAAACACAGACACAAATATACACGTAGGTTTTTGAAAATTCAGTTTTAGAAAACTTTACTGTCAGCAAATTTCAGATAACTGAAATTAGAAGAGATCAGAAGGTATTTTGTCTTTTCTCTCATTCATGTTCTTCCTGCAAATAAACAAGTTTTTATTTTAAAACTGATGGGCCTGGTGTCAAATTAAAAATGAATGTTACAACTCTATTCTACAATCATATAAAATGGAAATGTTTGTATGAAATCAGAATTTTATATTTTATTGCTATTATATAATGTAGCTTTACATTTAAATAGGTAATAACAAGGATAATACACTGAAAAATAAGTTTTTGATCACAAAAGGTTTTTGAAGTCATTAGAATAATTTTGTCTACAGACTCATTTATTTAATAAAATATACTCAGATTAATCCTATTCAAAGGGTACCATACAAAAGCACCCAAGATGGTTTCTTATGCTTATTTATTTATTTTGGTACCAGAGATCAAACTCAGGACCTTACACTTGAGAGGCAGGCAGCAGCACCACTGAGCTAAATCCCCAGCCCTAGTCTCTTATGCTTGTAAAGCAACATCAAAGAAAAAAAATATGAGCTATTATAAAACTTTCAGGTTAGAAATTTAGTTTCCACTTTTCTTAATATCTAACAGAAGGTGAAACTAAAGAAGTCTGATAATACCCAGTGTTGTATGGGGCAATGAGTATTCTTAGAAATTGAGTAGGAATATACATTAGTGCATCTTTTTTGGAAAGCAAAAAAATTTGATAACTATCAAAATTTAAATGTATAGCCAGGTGTGGAAGTGCACACCTGTAATCCCAGTACTCTGGGAGGCTGAGGCAAGAGGACTGTAAATTCAAATGCACCTTGAGTAACTCAGCAATTTAGCAAGACCCTGCCTCAAAATTTTAAAAAGGACTGAGAGTGTAGCTCAGTACAAAGACTCCAGGTTCAACCCTCAATACTGCAAAAAGAAAGTACTGAAAAAAACAAAAGAAGAAAGTTACTGTACTCATCCAGTGACTCAATCACTCCACTTCTAGGTAGCGATCCTATGCTGTATCTGCACACACATATTGAGATATACGTGCAAGGATATTTGCTGCAGCATCTTTGAGAGTAGTAAACGAATTGGAAATGAGCTGAAATGTTAATTTGTAAATAAAATATACCAAAAAAGCTGGCCAAAGTATAGTTACCATCTCGTTCTCGTTCACTCTCGGGCCTTGCTCTGGGTCCAGTATCTGACCAATCACCACGAAGTCGCAAACGCTTAACTGGAGGCTGCCGTAACTAAAAGATAAGAGTAGGTAAAGTGTATGTAAGTGTAAAGGAAAATCCACCCCATCACACCTTTCCCCAGGCCAAGGATCCAAACCCAGGGCCTCACGCGTGCCCTGCAAGCACCCCACCACTGAGATACACTCCCAGACTCTCAATGCTTAAAGTACACTTTCAGTCAGATGATTTCCATCTCCCTATCTTGATAATCTATGCAAAAGCGATGCGAGACACTGATATAAGTTACATCAGCCTCTTGTAGCACTCATGAGGATAAATATCCACTGATCCTGACAGCCTGTACCTAGTATCCCCAACTCAGAGCCTGAATGTAACTGCAAAATCATATACATGAGATTTCCAATCCCGCCTCTATCACTTCCCAGCTGATAACATGAAGTTCACCTGTTTCAGCCTAATTTTTTATAATATGGTAACAAATACATTTTAGCCAAAGTACCCAGACACCTAACAGCTGAAGTTATTATTTTTACTTATTCTTGACAATTTACTCTCCCTTTCTCCCCAGCATCTATTCCAAACCTCTACCACTTGCTGCAACCTTTCTAATCTTGACCAATAACTTTTTCTCCTCCTGCAGCGAATAGAAAGGCCGACAGAAACGACACCAATTTCCTCAGATGAATTCTAACACTGATCACGTAACTCCAACTTCCTAGGTCCTTCCAATCTTTCTAAAGACATGGACTACTTGCTCTGGTTAAGCCTACTCCATCCATATGTCTATATTTACTTCTTCAATTCCTCAAGCATCTTGCCGCAACAATCATTCTCTGTCCTATACATACATCCATTTGCTCTTGCCAGCATCGTGCTGAAAGTTGTTTTTCATGTAAATAAGACACTACCTCGATTTTGGTTTTCTCTCCATCTGTAATCCCTTCTTTTGCTTCTCTCTACTCTGAAGCTCAAGAGTCAGCATTCATTCTATCTGCCATTCCTTTCTTGGGCCACAGACAACATTTCCCACAAAGGTTACCAACGAATGATCCCTTGGCAAATTCACTGAGCAAGGATGAAGACAGCCAACGATATAAATAATCAGATGGCAGGTCAGCACCTTTCAGAGACTTGACATGTTCAAGGCACCTGACACTCCTGACCACTCCCCTTAATTCTGACCTTTTTAACATTTTTATAGCAATATACTTCACATCCCAGACTACCCATTTAAAGTAAACTCACTTGTGTATGTGCACAGATTTACAAAGTTGTCCAACTGTCATTACTGTCTATTTTCAGACATTTACACCATGCCAAAAAAAGTCCAATCCTATCAGCAGCTTCTAGAAACCACTTATCTACTTTCTACCTCTATGGATGTGCATATGTTAGATGTTTCATATAAGAAGAGTCAATGGGTGGCCTTTGGTCCCTGGCTTGTTTCACTCAGCATGTTTTCAAGGTTTACTCATAATGTAGCATGGGCCAATATTTCATTTTTAATGGCTGAATACTACTCCATTTTATGGATATATTGCATTTTTGTTTATTCATCAGTTGATAAAACATTGAATTGTTTCCATTTATTGGCTATTATGAATAATGCTGCCACTGAGCTCACTGACATGGTTTGGATCTGAACTGTCCCCCAAAAGCTCATGTACCGAAGGCCTGGTCCCCAGTGCAGGAACGTTCGCAGATGGCCTTTGGATAATGACCAGATCACCAGGGCTCTGACCTCATCAGTGGATTAATCCTCTGACAGATTTACAGCCCAGGGGCTACTGGGAGGTCGTGGGAACTTTTAGAAGGTGGGGCCTGGTTGGAGAAAGCAGGTCGCTGCAGTGCGTCCTTGATGGGTACTGTTTCATCCCTGGCTCCATCCCTCTCTGCTGCCTAGGCCCATGTGGTGAGCAGCTCGCTCCACCACACTCCCTGCATGATGTCTGTTTGTCACAGTCCAGAAAGAGCAGAGCCAGGTGACGATGGGCCGAAACCTCTGAAACCACAGCAGAGTGAGTCTTTCTTCCTTTTAAATTGTTTAAATTGTTTGTATCAGGTACTTTGTCCTAGCAATGGAAAGTTTCTTGGTGGTATATGTGTGTGTGTGTGTAGGTACAGTGTATACATATGTGTGTATGTATATAACTATGCATCTCTATGTATTTATGAGTGAAACTGCTGAGTCACAGGAAACCTATTTTTAATTTCTGAGGAACTGCCAAACTTTTCCAAAGCAGCTGACCGTATCACATTTCCACCAGCGAAGTGTGAGGGTTCCCATTTTTCCATATACTCACCAACACTTGTTACTGGCTTTTTAAATTTCTCTGCTTTGGCCACCTAATGGGTGCAAAGTGGTACCTCACTCCGGTTCTGCTGGGCACTTCCCGATGGCCAGTGATGCCCACCATCTCTGCATGTGCTCACTGGCCCTCTGTATAACCCCTTGGAGGAAAATCTTACATCCTTTCCCGATTTTTAATTGGGATATCTGTCTTTTTAAAGTTGAGTTGTAAAAGTTCTTTATATATTCTGATTACTACTCTATTCAGATAATAACATTTATATTTACAATTAACATTTTCTCACATTCTGCAGGCCACTCTATTTTTATCTATTTTTAAAAATAACATTCTGGCTGGGGGTGTAGCTCAATGGTAGAATATTTAACTAAATATGCAAAGCACTGGGTCCAATTCTCAACACCACAAAAGGAAAAATAAAAACAACATTCATTGATTTTCTTTTCCTAACTCACAAACAGGTTTGAAGGAAACCCCTGGTGACCATTAAGTTATAAATATTCTGATTTCTCCTGGAAAGCATTCCAAGTAACAAGGAAAATGGAAAAACAAACGCTCACATCCTCAGCAATGGAGACAGAAAAAACCAAAATCCACAAATTCCATATTATGAGCAAGTATGGCAAAGAGCAACAAAGAAAACAGCAAAATCTACACAGGAAGCCACAAGCATAAGCAAGGTGTAACTACAACAGAGAAAGAAGAGAGTCACTGCTATCCAAAATCTGAAACAAGAGAGCCTCATACTTTACACAGCTACATTTAGAATAACATAACCCTACTCCATGATTGGAATGAAAAGGAATTTTGATATTATGCATGAAAATAACTCATAATACACTTTAAGCAACTATTTCTGAAACAAGATATTCAAATTAAAAACAATGACAAGTTTTACTTGTGTGTGTGTGTCTGTGGATGGGGAGTAAACCCAGAACCTCAGGCATGCTAGAAACATGCTTTACCACTCATCTACATCCTGAGCACCTCTTGACTTTCTGAGTGTGTGACATAACTTAGTCAAGACTACTGAAAATGCCATAGCAATCATTCAGTCAACAAATATTTATGAGCACATTTTATGTACTATTCTAGATTCAGGAAAAAAATGAAGAAAACAGGAAAAAATGCTCATGTCAGCTGGATGATGGCAATACCCGTAAATCCCAGCTACTTGGGAGGCTGAGGCAGGAGGATCAAAAGTTTGAGGACAGACACCCTGGGCAACTTAATGAAATCTTATCTCAAAATAAAATAAAAAGAGCTGGGAATAGTTCAGTACTAGTATGCCTGAGGCCCAGGGTTCAATCACCAGTACCCCACACCTACATAAATCACAGAATATACAGTCTAGAAGAACTGACAATATATGAAATTTAAAAAGTAAAACAGACATAGAAAGTGCAAAGTATTATAAGGAAAAATAAATTAGAAACATTACAGGTAGTCCTAAGAGTTAAGGATTATGATCTTAAATAGGGTAGTGAGGCACTTCACCAAGAAGATATCAGCAAAAACTTACAGCACACAGAGAGGAAGAAATCCATATACTGAGCAAGGAAGAAATATCAGAGTTGGAAGGTATGCAGCTGTGGCTGGAGCAAAAGAGAGAGCAGTAGAAGCAGCAATAAAAGTCACGAGGACTTTCAATGTAAAGTTGTGCAGCTTTGCTTGCTGGGAGATGGGGGGAGCAACCTGGAAAGCAGTGAGATCTGACCTGCAGTTCAGAGGATCATGTCGGCTGCTGTGCAGCCAGACGACTAGAGAGGGAAGGCAGAGAGCCTAGTTAGCAAACTACCATTAAATAACCAGGGAGAGATGCTAACCCTTGGAGTCAGGGTGGTGGTACAGTGAGGGTGGTAAGCAAGTAGTGAGATCTGGGATATACCCTTAGACAAGCTATAAAGACCAGGAGAAAATGAGAGAATGGATTCAACAACAAAGTCTAATAATGGAATGGGACAGATGGGAAAATGCCAGAAGTGTGTTGGAAGGAAAAAGAAAAGAGAGAAAAGACAACAAAAACTAAAAAAGGAGAGCCAGGGATTTAGCTCGGTGGCGCTGCACCTGCCTCCAAAGAGCAAGGTCCTGAGTTTGATCCCTGGTACAAAAAAAAAAAAAAAAAAAAAAGAACTACAAAAGGAATATAAAGAAAAATGAGAAGTACCCTAAAAGTGGAATAAGACAAAAGAATATACTGAAGAGGGCCGGGGATTTAGCTGAGTGGTGCTGCCGCCTGCCTTGCAAGCGCAAGGACCCAAGTTCGATCCCTGGTACCAAAAAAAAAAAAAAAAAAGTACACCAATACAGTATATAGACACAAGAAAATCATATAATAAACTTTCAATTCAGGCTTTGAAACACTGCTCAATCTTTACTAATTTTCCAATCGAAGTCAATTATTATCTTTTGTTCTATTTATACAGAACCATAGTGCTTATATATAATTTTATTATTTCAAGTTTCACACATTTACTTATTTATAACTCTACATCCACTAAATACCTTCCTTGAGCCAGAGGCCAGTTTAATATATGTATATATAGTATATAGTGGGCATCCAGTAAATACTTGCAGAGTTAAGAACAGTTGGTCTGAACACTACTATCAAGGTTTTAGCACAAAACACAGAAAAAGTGCAGGAATGAAGAGGGAGATATATTATTCATTTATTTATATACACTTCTTAAGTATTTGGTATGTCTAGCATGATTTACTTTTTAAACTTACAATTTTAAAATTATTTTTCTTAATTTGGTTAATACAACAAAGAATATTAAGAAATACAAACATGTCCAAAACAAAACAAAAACAGAACTCTTCGTGACCCAGCATCCTTCATTCTTTTTTTTTTCCAGCATGATTCATTCTGATTATAAATAAGTATCTTCTGGCTAAAGGTTATATGGTAGCAAAGTTAGTTGGCCAACTTAAAAAGTCTATGCACTTCTGTACAGCTTGTAGCTAGATGTCTCCCCAAAGCCTGATGCACTCATACCTAGGGAGTTTTGAAGGTGGCTGGATTAGGGTGTGATACAGGGATTAAGGGTGTGATGACAGAATATGGGGGTTGATAAGGGAAGGCCCACCCTGGGTGAGGCTGGCACCACCCAAAAGGCTGGTAGCCTAGATGGGGTATAAGGGCTCTAGAGGCAGGCTGGTTGCCAGGGCTTCTGCTGTCTCTTCCTGCTGCCTTCTGCTGGCACTACCATGCCATGGATTGTTTCTTCTCTGCGATGCCCCTCTGCCATGCCGCCACACTTTAGCTCTATAAACTATGACCTGAAATAAACCTTCTTCCTTTAACATTGGGTATTGGGTATTTTGTCGGAGCAATGAGAAAGCCAACTGAGACAACTTTCAACCTTTTTGTTATCTAAGAGTCACAAGGTTTGGTTATAACTTTACTTACCCACATACCTCAAGAGATCACAGAAACAACAAAGTGACCGCAGTTTGTGTTTTCAACTAGACCAATAAATAACTTTCACTAACCATCATACCCTCTTCTTCATCAACTTCCTAATTCATTTCAATACATGACCACATATAAAATCCTAAAGTAGGTTGATAAAGTAATTCTAATTTTATAAATAACAGCTGAATTTAGTTTTGCATCCCATAGGAATTACAAAATTGCTATTGTTCTTTAGTAACCTTTAAAATGTGTTTATTAAAAATTAATGCTTGGGCTGGGAATTTAGCTCAGTGATTCTGGCGCCTGCCTTGCAAGCTCAAGATCCCAAGTTTGATCCCCAGTACCCCCAAAAAAAAAAAAATTCAATGCTTAATTTCAAAAGACATCTATAAGCCAAAGTACAGCGTGAATAAACACAAAAAAGGACGTTACAAAATTTTAAAAACGAAAGTGAAAAATATATTGGGGAAAGAAGCTTGACAGATTAAAGCAAACATTGTTCTATGGCTGCGCGCTATAAAAACTGCATTTCTACGAGAAACTAGACACATTTATAGCTAAATGGATGCACACTGAGGCAATACTCTTAAGTGAAATAAATAGGACACACATGCGTAAATAATGAATAGTTTCTCTGGTGTGAAAAACTAAAAGTGTAAATAAGGATCAAAATGTATAACTGATATTGTGAAATAGGAAGAAAAGGTCTAAAGGAGCAGGGGAAATGGGAGGGGCAGGGGAAAAGAAAGAAGGGAAAAGAAAAAATATGAGAAAAGGAAAACAATGGAAACAAAGTCTTTGTAAATAGGGAAGGGTGGAGGGGGTGAAGGGAAGGCAGGGGAATAGGAAAAAATAAGAACTGAGATACATCATGTAAAGGTACAAAATCCCAATGATAAATGTAGCTGTACTGTATACCTAAAATGTACTGATAAACTTAATGGAAAAAAATTGCATTTCTAGTTGCCACTTTAATAAATAAGAAAAGTCATTTCAGTGACAGTAATTCAATTCATTTACCTACTTTTAAATATATATACCTACTTTAAGTTAACTTTTCCTCATTTGTTTATATGTGTTTTGTAAAATGTACCTATGGATGTTAATATGTGTCATTAGTCCCTAACTGTGAGAGAGAGGCACAACTCAATGAAGAGGGGACTGCTACCACATATGAATAGTAAAGAGGAATGGACGGAAATCCTTTAGTCTCCTAAAGTTTATCATCCCATTTTCTACTAATTGCCTTTTTTACAAGTGTTACCTCTGCTGATCTGGCTTGGTACTGCTGTGCATCTACAAAGCGAAAAGAACAAATCACTATTAAATATTTTCTTTTCAAAAATACCATGGTGGCCTCTGTTCTTTAATGCACTTATCTATTTATTTATTTATTTGGCCATTAGGGTCCAGAAGTCACTGAGTTAATATTTTAACTGAATAAGGAACACGGTTTTGAGTAAACATACCTCTTCTCGCCTCTCTTCTGTAGAAGGAGTCTTCAGTTCTCGTGCTGTATCATCTTTTGGGTCGAAAAGATAGATGTAATCTGAAGAGTAACTAACGAGAATCTCTTGGCCGTCCTCGCTATAACACAGAGACGTCACTCTACAGGACTTATTGTTCAGATGGGAAGGGATAAAGCGGGCAACCATTCCAGTAGTCCCTCGACCTGCATAATTCCCTAAATCACAAAACACAAAGTTATTTCTAGATTATATAAACTTTTTTTTTGTACTAGGGATCAAACTCGGAACCCTGTGCTTGCAAGGCAGCCGCGGAACCACTAAGCTAAATCCCCAGCCCTAGATTATATAAACATTTTGTTGAAAACATCAGGTATTTAATACACTGACATATGATTATAGTGACACTAAATCATGTTCCAAAAATTCACTTTCAGGTAAATTTTTATAATAGAAAAGCTGACTGCTAATATCTTAAAATGTAATTCCAATTATAATTAGTTTTATCAATAGACTTCAATACAACAGGGAAGAGTACAACTGGCACCTGGTGCCCTGGGGACCCAGAAATGCTAAATTCTAACAATCCCAAAGATGAAAAATCTTGCCCAATTAAGTCTTATCCTAGTCAAAATGTCAAATTGTCTCACTGTTAAGAACAACAATTAAGCCTAGAATTTCATATTACATTATGACTGCTTCCCCTGAAATGTGCCTATGTAACTGACAGAACTCCTCAATCACAGTTCAAAAGAGAAAAAAGCTCATCTGGTAGTACGGCTTGAATCTAGACGTCCCCAAATCCTCACGTGGTCCTAGGTAGGGCTTTTTTGAGGTGGCTGCATGTAGGGTATGTGATACTTGGGTTAAGGGTGCTTGATTACTAATTAGTCCACTGATGCTTTAGCATAGTTCTGGGTATGGGTAATGGGAAGGCCTACCCTGGATGTGGGTGGCACAACCAAATCTCTGCTAGCCTGGATGGGATAAAAGGGAGAAGCAGGCTTGCTGCTGTTGCGCCTGCTGTTTCCCTGCTGCAGCCTGCTGCTGTTGTCTTTGGGCTGCCACACCATGAACTGTTTCTCCCCTGTGATGCCTGTCTGTCATGTGCCACTCTGCCTTAGAACCAGGCAACTATGGAGTTAAACCTCTACAAGCCATGAGCTATAATAAGCTTTTCCTCCTTTAACTTTGGGTGTCAGGTATTTTGCCTCAGTAACAAGAAAAGTAACTCAGATATCTAGTATTCTCATTACAATAATCTATACCCATTTTTACTGACATAGTTCACTTCTGTTCAACTTCATCTTTGTTTTTCACAAAATAAAATACTAATATACTGTCTGTATA